GTGGGAGGTCGTGTGGCATCAATTCTTGCACCAGCTGTATCTTATAAGGTTTTACACCCAAATCCTGTCGCAAAATTTTCCACGTAGTGGAGTAACAGAGGCCCAATTGCTACGAACGGCGGCGAATCGACATTTCACGGTCATCACTAACACTGGCGAATACAGCCGCAATATTTTCTTCAGTCCTCACTCTACGTCTGCGTGTTGGTGGTTTAATGTCCAATAATGTAAACTGGGTTCAAAATTTAGTCACAAGCTTCCGAATAGCTCCCTCAGTAGGCCGACCAAATTGCCCATAAATTGGAAGTAGTGCTCGATGCACTCTCTTAACCGAGCATGAATTTTGATAGTAAAATTCAATAATTCGCAAGCGTTGTTCGTTCGTAAGTCGATTCATGGTTAAATTATAGACCAAACTGAACACGTTTGACAATGACACAAGACACGATTCACGCGTCATTTGTCAAAAACAGTGTTGCCAAAAAGATACTAGCAAAAAAATCACCCATTATAAGTGAACATAAAGAGAATGACAGGTAGCTTCAGGTGACATTTTTTCGGAAAGACCCTATCATTAAAAATCGATATAATTTCATATTTTCAGTTTTACCATCAGCTCAGTGGTTTTCGTGGCTTACCCCTACTTCTGCTGCTAATTGCTTATCTAAATCCAAACGCGGTTATCAAATGACGTTTCTAGCAGCGACTATGCAGTATGCCTCTGCATCAGATTATTCAGAACATGTTAAAAAAGTACGGTACTAATTTGGTCATACAATTATGTAATAAGTGATGTCTGACACTCTCCTTAATTTTGTACGTTTGGCTTACCAAAATATCGTACCGTGGCTAATAGTTAGCTACCAAAAAACTCTTTTCAATACCTCATTTACATTCTAACAGTAGTTGACTTTAACCAGAGATCATCTATGAATTAACTAGAAAGGTTGTAATTGTCAATACCTAACCTTATAGGGAAAGCCGATATTGTCATCAAGTGCACATAGGCATTCTTCAAGAGGCATTAGCAAGTCCCACTTTTTGCCAAATCCCGCACAATTCTTTTTGCGTTCCATCTTCCCTCCTTTGTCTCCAACCCAGAGACCGCTTTATCGATTTTCTCCTGGGGCGGCATCCTGTTCGTATCTCTCCAGGGACTGATTGATACAAAATGATCAGCAGCGATGATAACACATCGCCCGAGTTTGTTATGAAACGTCAAGGTCTCCGCCATGCCTCGTTATCCCACGTAAGACTCCAGCATGTGTATAGATTTATGTACTGTGACAACGTGTAAAGACAATACGTCGTTTGGCGTACAAGAAACAGGAGTCTTTCGGCCTTGTAAAAACGTCGTGTGGCTGACATTTAGAATAGGAAATAGTAAGATGTACAGGTTGCGAAAAATGGCTTTAAAACAACTGATCTTAAAATACTATTCGGTGTCTTGAAGAAGACGCTTTTGCCTTTAATTTAGAGCCTTGGAAACATCAAAAGTAATTATTAATCTGGTACAGCATTGAGTTTGTCCATTCGTAGGGTTTTTTCAGACATGAAACTTTAAAACTTTAGAGAAAAGCTACCAAGAGTCTGTTTTGTTCAGAATGATGAGAAAAATTTTTCCAGAGCGAAAATCTTTCTGTAATTTCTTACTAAAACAAATTGTTCAAAGAAGTTGCGGATTGGTTACCTCTTGGTTCATATTAAGTAGCATGCAATTAATGACCTCCACGATATTTAGAGACAATTTCTGAAAAGATGCTGGGATATAAGTCAACGCAAAAACCTCCCATTCGCAAGAGAAGCTGTAAAACATTTTTTCTTTCATAATCACATTGATGAACTCCTTAACATGAATTAAGAGCTTGCTGGTTGGTAACCCTGATTTATTTAAACAGCTTTTTAAGAAAGTTCGAAAAAAACAGGCAGTTTTTTTAAAGTTTTTCTGTATCGCTCTGATCAAAAACTGCCCCCAGCAACTTATCCCTAAAGTAAATAATCTCATTGCTTAAAAAATTGCTTAAGGGTTATTATTTTTGAGGTTTCTATGTATCTACATTAACGCTAAAGCTGTTCCCAGTAAGTCACTGAAGAATATTTTGAGGTTAATTTATTTTGAAGCAGCTTTTAATCTTGTTTGGTAGGCCAAAATGGCGAACTTTTGGTTTTTGCAAACTGAACAATACTTAGAACACCGACGTTTTTGATACTCTAAGGAAAAGAGGCTTTATAAAGAAAGAAAAGGTTAGATGACCTAGAGAACTTCTTAGTTCAAAACAGATATCCGATCGTCTTCTCCATTCTGCTGCATAATAGGAAATAGACCACATCTACTACACACCTAGAATCGTCTCCATTTAGCGGTCACGAGGTGACTGGGCCTCCATTCGCCGACGGAGATCTATAGAGGCCCTAGCGGCTGCGATTTACTGTTTCGAGAGGTCCATTCTAGCAATAGATGGCGCTTCGCGCTGTCTTATTTCTGCTCGTTTGTCGCCATTATTCATGGCCCATGAAATATCGATTTTGGCAATTTGGCGTCTGACACCGGTAGTTGCCACGTCAGGGAGTTGTCATGTATTTTAATAGGTTATTTTGGTTACGGATGTTAGCGACGTCACAATGGCACCTCGGTAAGGAAGGTCTCTAACCTCCAAGGACCTGAACTGAGCCTCTCATCAAAGCTTGCCCATCATACCAATTAAAGTACATTACCGTGTCTTAATATTGAACTGCGCCAAATAACCATTATTTTCCAAGTATTTCGTATCGTCGTTGTTTTGACGAAAACTTCTACGTGTTTAGTAGTAGTTTTTACAGAATGACAGAAAAACTCTTTTAATTTTAAAAAATTGGCTTCACAATTTTTATTAAATCTCTACAGGATTATTAGAGTTTCTTCTTATGGAACTCTAGTACATCAGATCAAGGAGCTCATATTTGACTGTACAGATATTCAGCAAAGCTCCGATGTGGTAAAATTGTTACATAGATTTTATCATAACCGCGACGATATGCTGCCATGTCGGGTTATTTCAACGTTCATCACACTGGCTTTCTGGGATGACCACAAATTCATAGTCAACTTACTTGTCCCTTGATGATATAGTGACGCTACCAAGACTACTGGTTGTATATGATTTAGGCTCTTTATATGAAGGCCAACAGAATAACTCAGTTGGTGAGAATAGAGGTTGACTTCGAGTTAAGCAAAAAGTATTTTTGTCATATATTGGTATATCATAGTTGCTTGTTAGTTTCCTGAAAAGTGCATATCCTCCAGGTTAACAACCATATAGGCATATACAGAATGTTGAGTCCAGTATTTCACAGCTGAGGATCTCACGGAAGCCCTATTCGTACAGAAGTCGTCAACCTATCAGTGATCGTGTCCAAAATCCCGCCACTCAAATTCCGTTCATTATGCTACGCTATATAGACGAAATTCACACGGCCGGATCTCAGATACAGTCACCGACAAGTCTCCGATCACTGTACGAACAAACCTGAAGTGTAAATGGCAGGTCCAATTACAGGTTGAATCTCTCCATTAGACTGGCATCACCAAGCCGATGTTGCCATCTTATAGTACACATGACGTACGGCTGTCTAATACTGGTGGGAGCATACTGTATGACAGCCAAGGAATATAAAACGAATTCAAGTACTTTCTTTATATCGATAATATAAAGCAGTTCATGGATTTAACAAGCGGTAAGTGGTTGATGCCCAGGTGGACTTGTCATATCGTCCTTCAAATGCAAGGAAAATGTATGACTGAGTTCTCAAGTATTCTAGGATGCTTGATCACTTATAGTAGGCATCTTGAAAAGTGACATTATGCCGATTTTTTTTGACATTATGCTGTTTTTTTTTGACATTACGTAGGTTATTCTACAAGATGTTAACTTAGCACTTAGACGTACGTGTTGCCTAAACGACATGAGTCCTGTTATCAATCCTTGGCTCTGATGTGATGTAAAATCTGCCTCTGAGATGGCATTACTGGAGGTCTAAGCTGTAAGTTGTATGTGTTGATGATAATTACATTGGGTTCTTGTCTCAAATACACTTAATTGAGATTCAAAGCTAGAAATTAGTTGCGCATCCATTTTTTCTTATCCATTCTGGAAATTACATATACAAATTTGCTGATTTTCAAAAATGAGAGAGATAGGAAATAATTATATTCACTGTACACTGTCGAATTACAAGCAATACACATGCTAACAGTAATTACACACAACGCGGGCGTGGTGATGATTTCCCATAATTCTCCTCAGTTTTTCTTAATTTATAACTTTGAACATAACCTCTCTTCAGAAAGCACAACATATACATAGCCCGTCATATTCGGCATATTCAGTAATCATTTTCTCATAAAGCAAATATCACTGATTTTATACACATGCAGACCAATACACATAATCATCCAGATGCGATCTTGCTATTCAACCAACTTTCTTGTCATATATAAAAACTACAGACCCGGATACTCAGCCTCACAAAACTATGCAACCAATAATGCGTAGTTTAGTTGAGTGATTCCTCCATAGATGGACGTTCACAACGATCCTAGTGAGCCAACGTGGAATGACTGTTTGCGCCCTAAAAACTACCTAGTCTGCAAGTTGACATCTTATAGGTTTTTTTGACGTTTCATAGGTTTTTTACATGTTACCAGTGCCGTTTTCCCAAACAGGCAGGTTCAAAATAGCAGTTGTTTCATCTATAGAGACCTAAGAGATCAACATGTACCGTTTTCAATCAGAAATCGTGAAAACCTTAGTAAAAGCCCATACTTTATTTCTCATTTATACGGGCTAGAGGTAAACATCGAAGAAAATCTAAGAAATCAAATCATAATTAAGAAGTTTTTAATATTCCCAGGCGTATTTAACTGGAAAGGTGTCGGGAACTCGTTGTAGTTGTCAGTGCTAACAGGCCCTCTTAACTGGGTTTCACTGTAGAAAGATCGAGAAAATAAGAAATCTACTTACCATATACTCATCACGTAATATGGTGTCCAACAAACGAAAAACACAAACACGATTATTATTGTCATTTTCAGAGTCCTTATTTTGGCCTTTCCCAAAAACGGAAGGCTTGACCTAGTTATACTATCAGCTGCAACAAAGAAAAATGAAATTAATAAAAAGAACAATCAGCCAGAATAAAGCTATTTCTGTGATACGATGTGCTAAGCTTTAGTTGTTAAGATTCTAAGTAATTCTAGAATAGATAGGTATACAGGACGTCCCAGGGAAACGTGTCAATCTCTCGCGCACATGAAATGTTGCCACAAGTTCCCTATGGAGATACGACACCTAAAGGACGCCAAACAATAAATCGTAAGTTCTGAACAACAGTGCATGCCTCAATAACCTTCTGGCATCGTAGTAACCAGCGCTACTTGATGTTGTCGTAACGGACTAGCTTAAGGCTATTATTGCTGCAATTTTTTACAGTCGTATAATGTCCCAAAGATTACATTCTTAAAATCTTAATATTTTATCGGAAAAAATATAGCATCGTTTGACTACGATGATTATAAGAAAAGCTGTCTAGATTTATATCTAGTTGTACTATTCCCAAAAAAAGTTTGACTCTTAATCAAGTGATTTGAAAACTTATAACTTGGAGCTTTAGGGTAGCAAATTATGGATCTGTTATCAAAATTACTATATTTCAAAAACGGCGTAACAAGTACTCTGGATCCAGTGCCAGAATCAATAGAACTCTATTTTTTCTTGAAAACATTTTATTTTATTGACGTCAGATAAGATTAAATGTTTTCAGCTTAAATATTAGGATTTCCAAAAATTGGGTCCAGGAAGTAAAGTTTTTTAGCAATATTGCATTAGCATTAGTCCGTCCGTGGGTATCTAACTGATTTCTATGGTCACTAACATGTGAGACCCCAACTAGTTACTAAGCTCTCAAAATTCCGTTTACATTAAACAACAAGCGCAGCAACGTTATAGTCAAGCGAAACTGCATAGCAACCCCTTGTTGCGCGAGTCAGAAGACTTCACAGTCGATCAACTTCGCAAGCACACAAGGCCGGAGCTCGCACTGTGGACAAGATTAAATCGTGCGACTTTAGGTTCAACCAGAACTATAATTTTTCTTCAACAACCAATCTCTAAATTAATTTTATTATCAATTTAAAATTCTCGATATCACTTATATATAATACTTTAACCAAGAGCAAAAGTCCTACGGACCGCTCTTACAGACAATTATGAATAGAGTAAAGTAAATTTATGTTTTTAAGATCATTTGCCGATTCAGTCTGGTACACTTTTGTTTCGCAGTAATTAGTCAAACTTTAGTAAATGTTTTCACAGTGAAACGAAACACAATATTATTTTTAGCATACTGTGCTAGTTTTTAATGAAATTAATACTCGGTTGTCTCAATCAAAAAGTTCTTTATAGCCACAACAGGCAAAAAAGGAGCAAAAAGTAGCGATTTTTTGAAAAAGCTTAGAAATGGCAATATCTTGAAGACTTGAAAACGTTTACCGAGGTAATGTTGATTTTATCTGATTGTCCGCAGCGAATCTACCTCCCGTGTCACTCTGGCGTGTCACTTCTGGGACACCCTGTATACTTTGACTTACCGTTTTTTGGATTCCTAGTCCTTCGACATATCTCAATGAGTATTGAGACGTATGAATAGATAATTACTATCAAAGGAAAAGCGTACATCATCACCATACCGAAAACGGTATAACACAGCTCGTGGGCATAAGACGGGAAGACGTTGTACGTCACACATTGGTAGTACCAGGTTATATTTGGGTGACGTTCCACGTGGAAGACAACCATCTGTAAAACAGAAAGAAAATGCCTAAATACATAATCACTTGTCATATTCACATCAGCCCACTCAAACTGTCCGGTAAGTTAAGCCTTTAACGTAACTCCAGTGACCATCTGAAATGCACATGTCTTCAGTCTTTGTGGCCACGATCAAATGGAAACACCGCTGATTCATGCTCATCAGTTTGGTATAGGTCTCGTAGTGTTTGAGTCAGATGAACAGTAAGCAGACAAGTGGAAAACCGTAAGCGAAAAATCTGACGATCTCCAATTACCAATGGTTTGCCAAGTTGACCTTCATACTCATATAATGAAAAATGACGGAAGGCCCCTACACTACCGGCTCATAACTGCACAATGCACAGATAGATGTCACCATACCAAAACAGTCGACCTATATAGCAGCCGGAGTTACAAGACCTATACTGCACTGATAAGTTGATAATTAGCATGAAACAGTGCTGTCTGCAGTTGGTCGTGGTTCCAGAAACAGAAAGCAAACATGTCAATTTCAAAGGTGTCTACGTATGAATATATAGATAGAAAACTGCTGTTGGTCTGCTCTGTGAATACTTGATGTTCTAGCTGCTAAATGAGTCGACGTTTTGGTGGTGCGACATCTATCTGTGATTGGGCAGAACGTCAAACGTGTAGTGCATGGGTCTGCCGTCATCTTTCATCGTATGGGATGAGGATGAACATGAACTTGGCAAACCAAGGGCTATGATTGGTCACTCCTGTAGCTCTAATCCCTTGTACAGCGCACAGCGCATGGTGTAAGTGAACTAGGTTGGTACCAACCCTTAGCACATAGTGTCGTGTTTACACAGTCCTGAGGTTAGCTGCCAAAGGTAAAAACAAAACAATTGTCATCAAACCGTTGATATATAGTTAATAACATGCATTGCAAAAGAATGATTGCAAAGCTTTAAAGTACGCGTCCAGAAGTCGTTACACGGGTCGACAGTCTATGGGCTAGACTGGGCCGAAAAATCGAATTTTTGAACTACGTTTTGGAATAGTGCGCAAAAGATGCCTTTTGTTATTCCAAAAAAAAAAAATGTTTATGAACAGTTTTTCGATTGTAATGCGTCTTCGGCCTCCTACCCAACCCAAAAATTAAAAAAAAATAAAAAAATCGAACTTTGGAATAGCATGCGGAAGTTTCCTTAGCTTACCTCGATCACAACATTTATTTATAGTTTTTTCATCGCATTACGTTCTTCTGGCCCCTAACGGAATGCAAAATTAAAAATAAAACCACAATGCGGATTTTTCGATGGAATAAGTTTTATTTTCATTCTCTACTGTAAACTTTAGCTAGACAATCAGTAAGAAAAGCAAATAGCAATTTTGACAGGTCATAGTTATTTGCTTAAATGAAGTCAACTATACTTCATAGTAGGTCTTTCGTTGATCCAGAAGAAGGCATTGCACCTAGAAACACAGAACCTGGCTCCTGTAGCAAAGTAATGTTCTTCAACTAACGTTATTCTGCCATCTTTTCTTTAGTAGTCAATGTTTTGTCTTTTAGACCATCAAAATAAATTGCTTTCATAGGTTGATACTTTTCACAATTGTATTCCTTATATTCTATCTAGCTCTTTTTAACTTATTTTTGTCTATTATTTGCATCTTTCTTTTGTTACTAATCCAACATCTTGTAAAACAGTTATAGCTACTGTGGCTGCAGATCTGTCTGATAATTCATACCTGTCAGAAACTTTAGCAAGCGTAGGTAGTTTGAGTATATTATTTTTAGGAGTTTTTATCTCGTTCATCGAGGCTTTGGAAGTAGACGGTATTAGACAAGCTGTATCAAAGTTGACGAAAGAAGAAACTGACATATCAGGTAATACCCCCGAACAAATATTAGATCGTTTTTCAGGGCATAAATTATGCGACTTTTCCCTTTCTTGCTGCTTTTCAATTCTTTTGTACTTATCCACTATTTTCTTAGTTTCCTTCGCATCGAGACGTCCTAAGAATGTTTGTCTGGTGTCTTTTTGATCTGTGAGAAATGCACGTTCCTTTGAAGGTACCTGTAAAAATAATCATTTGTTGGATGAGTAATCTCGTCAAATGAAATAATATAATCTTACCTTTTTCCTTTGCTACAAGAACACTCCTAAAATTTTTCGCACTTTCAGGCACTTATGTCGAACAGTTTCTTATTATCTGCTAAGCTTATAAGCTTCAACTTTTACAACATAGTTATCATTCCTGTTGACTTTGAGGTACCAAAAAATCTTCATCTTTCATGCTGCATTTTTATAAGTTGCAATACACGTTTACGTGTGATTGTAGGAAACTTCATGCAATAAAAATACTGTAAATAAATAGTTTGACCGAAATAAGAAAAGGAAACAATTGTTTGCTATTCCAAAATTTCAATTTTAGTTTTTTAATGTTTAGTTCTGGTAGGGTAGGGACAGAAAACGTGTTACAATAAAAAAAACTTCTCATCGCATATTTGTCCTGCAGTACTGGTAGTAAAGACTATTTTCGCTATTTCAGCAAACCAAAATAGACTACGAGTAGCCCATATTCATAATATGATAAGATTCAATAGTACTTTTTGAAAAGTGTTTCAACTAAATTTCAAATTCACTGGCCTATATCCAAAAAATTTGTCGTGGGTACATTTTGACCTTCAGCAAAGGCCGAACCTATGACCGACGATGTATTTTCTGGTTATGTTTTGGCATCTAGTGGGTTTGCGATTTCACAGAGTTCATGGAGTGTGAAATTGAGAGATAATTTGTTAGGTTACCTGTGGTGCACTGCATAGCACTGCCCCTATCCATGCACTCATCAGCAACATTTTCTCTCGTCTATCTATAGCTGCCAAATGTAAGGGTTTTAGAACAGCGTAAAATCTGAAATTATTTGCAAACTATGAGATTTAAAAAACATTTATCTTCAAATGGTATGAAGATCTTTCAAATTGTGCTCAAATGAGTGTCTACGGCTCTATATTTCCAAATGTTGACCTTGAACGTTTTATAAAAGAATGGAGACTAATAGAATCAATCTACTTGACATTATTTTCCATAAAATGTATGTCTTCAGTCTGGATGCAACCTTTAAATTCTACTTGTGTTATATCTTACCTGTCAACACTTATACATACAAGGACGAAACTAGAGAGATATAGTCCGAAAGTCCTGAAGAACATCATGATCCGGCACATGATGTCTCCAGCCTTCCATTGGACAGTCGATGCCCACGCTATTTCGAGAGGCATCATCAGGAAAGTCACCTGGAAAAATGCAAAATATCCAATTTGAAAATGGACTTTCACTTCAATCATTCAAATTATATCTGTCTGTCAGTTCGGTTAACATCAAAAGTGTAAGCCTTTAAATAAAGTCCAATCGAAAGTGTAACTTTACAATTTGAGTATTTGTGAAACAAAACTGATTCATTTTCAGAATGCTTGCGCCAGATTATGCTTGTTTTAGTGGTAAAGTTCCAAAAGGTATCACGATCGATTTTTCTTAAGACAGTAGCCTAAAATAAGGGTACATAATTATAAGCATAATAGAACCAATTAGGAGCTTCTTGATGGAGGCGTACCTACAAACTATCAGCTTTGCAGGAGCGCAATAGCGCTTAATTAAAGTGAATATGTACTAATTAGGTATTGAACGATACCATGACGTCGTTTAACAGGATTTAAATTAACAGATAATGCTTTGATAACAAGTTAGTAACTACTTTCATATTTCAACCGAACATCGAAAAAAGCTCTAACAGAAGCTCTAGGTTATCAAATAGGCAGTTTGTCGATGACCTCGCATATGACCTAGATGACGATACTAGAGCTTAGGTTTGAACATTCAAATAGCGACCACCATCTTTGATAGCAGATTCGTGTAGGAGTTGAGATTTTACATTAGGTTGCATTTTTGAATATTCGTCGTTCAACCAGCATTTTTTTTAAACATACTGGAGCAGTCTCGCAAGCAGAAACCTAAATACCGGGGTACCAACTGCTATAAGGAACTTAAAGGCACCTAGTTAATCCAATTTTTGAATCGTCTACGGTTAGCAGAACTGGGAAAAGCGACCTTAAGCAAATTCTTCCATAATCTCGGAGGAACAACGGAGCGGTCGTACCAGCCAGTTCTAGATGTACGAAGTGCGACATAGTTGGGTTGGGAAGCAGAAACCTGGAGGGTCCATCTGGCAGGCTCAATGCGCGGAGGCATTTTGGAGGAGAGCTGTGAGGAGCAAACGCTTGATAAAATAGGGATAGAAGAGAGCAAGATCTCCGACTGCTCGTTGGTGGAAAAAAGTCCCGAGACTGTCAATAGATCAGTTCAACGGCCCCTCTCTGAACAGCATCGAGTATGGGCAATATAGTCGGGGTGGCAGCACCCGAAACATGTGAGTAGTACTCAGGGCTGGGTCTCCTCTGGGCATTATACAAAACTATACAAAGATCTCCGACTGCTCGTTGGTGCAAAAGGGTGTCGGGACTCTCCATAGATCAGTTCAACAGCCCCCTCTGAACAGTATCCCAAACATGTAAGTAGTACTCGGGGCTAGGTCTCACCTGGGCATCGTACAAAACTTGCTTTGTTTTCACCTTGGTCAAGGTCAGGCTGCATTTCAAGGTTACAATTGGTATAATGTTTCAACGCCAAACTTTTCAGCAATTTCTTAGCATAAAAGACGTAGCTGAAAATGTTTTCATTTAAGGGTTGATTTAGGATTTAGGCTGTCACCTCATTTTCATAAATCTCATTCTGTTCTAAATCAAGCTTATCAACTGTGTTTCACTATGACTTACGTATCGGAAAAGAACACGACAACCATGCTTTTTTCAAACAATAGTGTCAAGAAATCAATCAATCAAATCACTGACTTAAGAAGTCATGTTGGAGGTCGAGTTTGTAATTGCAACAAGCAACCACTATTTTCACATCAGAATTATAGGTGTACATTCTTCTATGATATTGCTGTCAACAGTCTATTCTAATCTGGCCGTTGTCAGCTGGGCGAGTTTGAATTGCGTCCCAAGAGAATTTTTCTCTTGGCTCTGGATGTTATCTTTATCCATAGGTGGTAGACGGCCTCAGATTCGCCTTAGGCCTTCATGGTGGCTTAAGTATACAATAAGGTCATATTTTTTGTTAAACATAAGTTGCTTTTCTAATTTCTGAAACATTCGTTGGACTCTAATTTCAAGAAGGAGAGTTTTTGCAAAGTTTTTTGGGTGTACTCTTCAGATGTTACAGTAGGTCATAGTGACTTATAACTGTTAAGCCTCATGTATGAAAATACACTTTGATCTCTACAAGATTCCGTTGTCAAAAATAAACAACTCAATCCCATATAATCAAAAAAGTACTTGAAAATTGGGTTAATGGGAAGAGGTGCTGTCGGTCCAACCTTAGCAATCATTTGAGTGATATTGTGATCCATTCTTATATGCCATCGTTCAACCTCTCCAATGAGACCACAAATTTGCAAAAAATAATTAATTTCTCTTTTACACATACACAAATTCTAAATTTTCAACGGCCTACCTTATACAAATGCTTATTGCCTTTTTTATGCATCCTGTAGGAAAATGTACTTAACTAGGTGACGAATCTACATAAAAATGTACTGTCAGAAATTGGCGCATACCAGGTTACGTGTTCAAATTACTAATTATATGTTTTTTTGGACAACGCTTTTAATACAAGAAGGCTAGTCGCTTGAAACCTTGACATCAATTGATACTTAAATTATTCAAATAGTAATAATAACATAATAATAACATCTAAAACAAGTTTTAATCCGATTGTTGTGTCTGTTCTAGGTACTATGAAGCAGGTAAACGAGTCGTGTCATGAATAAACGACAACTTGTTTCAATAATCATGTTCAAAATGTAGCTCAAATATGAAATTCGCAAGAATATCTACAGCTTAGTTGAACGGTTACAGAAAACTGAAGTTATGAACTTGTTCAGAGATGAGAGCCAGGCAATCAGTTTTAGTGCAACATGACACTGTGACGAAGATACAGCTTGCATTTATTCGCTGAAAACTGGAAGACATTACAAAAAGAATTAATAAATTGGTATAAAGTGCTCAATACTGAAATGTGTTATCGATAGCTAGGTTGCCGCTTGACGGTATCGTACAAAACCGAGCTGATGGCTTTGTTCAGAACTGACGTGCATTTCCGAAATAAAAAGGAAGTGTAAATAAAACACTCAAGCATAACTCGAAAGAAAATCTGGAAAACCGTGTGATTATAATGGATGATGAAAAAATGAAGCTAAATTTAAAACACAGGTGAAAGCTGACAAGGTCTTTGCACGATTTCTGAGGCTTTGGTTTCAGCGAGTTCGAGGAGAAGTTGTGGACGTCGAGTTTTATACCCAAACATGCTTACCAGCAATGCTCAACTTTATTAACAACCATAACCAGAACGATAATATATCATTTTGGCCCAACATTTATACGTGCCATTACGCCAGGAGAGCTACATTTGGAACAGAGTAACGTTAATTATGTATCAAGAGACGATAAGCCCCTAAATGTACCACAATACCTAATGATTTCGGCCGTTAATGTATTGAAAAGTTTATGTCAACGGATGGGAAGCTAAAAATGAACAATTGCGTGGAGCGCATTTTTGTAAAAATTCGGAAAACAGCAGATAAGACAAATATAAACAAAATGGGTGCTATTGAGGACGTTTTCCTATTACCAGAAGATGTATAATTAATCATCGCTATTAAGATTTTAATAAAATTTGGATATTTTGTTGATTAGGCCTATTACATTTTTTCTCAAAACTCACCTACCATACCTTACTAATGCTAGTGAGACTTTCCATCTGTCAGCCTGACAACTCCAGGAAGCTGATTCTGATAACGTATGTCGTAAAAGTTTTGGCGCAAAATATACAGGGTGCCCCGAAAAAAGTATGCAATATTCTACCAGCGGTTTCTGGAGCTTAAAATAGGAAGAAAAGTTTATATAAACATAGCTCGACAAACGTCCCCTAAGGGCGCTACGGTCTTTTAAAGGGGCTCCTCTGAAGATGGTTTTTCCTTAATATTTCCGAAACGTGTTGAGATAAAGACATAAAATTTGGTATTCTAGCCTAGTTTTTTATGCCGGATTTAAAAATATTAACAATTTTAGACAGTTTTGTTTGGAAGCGTATGTAACAGGGACGGACTGAGGTTATGTTAGCCCCAACATTTTTGTGTGATTATATTTTTAAAATTCAATCTTAGAATTTTAAAATTTAGGGTTTTCTACATAAAAAAGGTACTCTTATTGAATATCGATAAATTGTGCCATTTTTGAATAAAATCAAACTAAAAAATGTGTCACATGGTAGGAAATGTACTGCGAATTTAAATGAATTGTTGATTATACATAGTTAGCCATGACTGCAAACAAAAGTTGTTTTGATTTGTTATGAATTGTTTTGACGTTAAGCTGACATTGTTAACAGTGTAAAATTACTAGATTAAGATCAAAATTTTTATGAAATCGATTTAAAATGCCAAGATTTACAGACAGAGAACTGACTGACATGCATTTTGTGTACGGGTTTTGCAATGGCAGTTCATTGGCAGCCGTAAGAGAATACCAAAGAAGATTTCCCAACCGCATAGTACCTGGACGTCGAATGTTTACTGATATTCACCGGAATTTGTCAAAACATGGAAGTTTTCAGCCCATGCAGGGCTCAGGAAGGTCACTGGGAAATCATTGTATGGATATTGCTTTAAATATGTTTGAAAATAATTCGCAAATAAGTATACGAAATGTTTCAGAAATTATGGATACACCTCGATCAATAGTAAGAAAAATGTATGAATACCTATTTGATAGTTATCCTAAAAATAATAATTTTAGATAGGAAGGACAGGAAGATTTTTTATCATGAATCGAGTTTTGCCAGTGGATATTAGCAAATGAAAACACTATTCCTAGAATATTATAATCGGATGAGTCAATATTTACTAGGAATGGTGCTTTTAATTTCCATAACATTCATCACTGGTCCGATGAAAATCCAAAAGTTGTACGCTGTACAAATTTCCAACATAGATTTTCATTGAACTTATGGGCAGGAGTAATTGGGGATCAAGTAATAGGGCCTATTGTACTTCCCAATCATCTTAATTCAGAGGTGTATCTGAACTTTCTTCAGAATGAGCTCATGGATATAATACCATTGGATGTGCGCCAGCAGTTTCAAGAAAATATGTTTTCTCAACATGATGGCGCCCCTGCACATTTTGGACGCAATGTTAGAAATTAGTTGAATGTCAATTTTTCAGACAGGTGGTCAGGCCGAGGAGGTCCTATAGCGTGGCCGCCACGTTCACCTGACCTAAATCCATTGGATTTCTATTTTTGGGGGTCATTAAATGACCTAGTTTACTCGACTAAAGTAAATACTCAAGAAGATTTGCTCCAAAGAATCCATCAGGCTGCAAATGAAATAAGAAGAAAAAAGTTTTCCACTTTTCGGGATACGCAATCATTAGTTCGTCGAGCGAGACTCTGCAACCAACAAAATGGGAATTTATTTGAATACTTATTGTAAAGCTAGTTTTAAGTATATCCAACTGTATGTCTTCTTTTTTAAACAAATTTCAATTTCATTCGTAGAAAAAATTTATTTCTTTTGTTTTTGCTTAAATGTTAGCTATGTTGCAATTGAAATATGTATTTATGTAATATTTACCAATTATTAAATTAGTTTTTTCGTTGCCATGGCTTATTATTCATTTAAATTCGTAGTACATTTCCTATCATGTGACAAATTTTTTAGTTTGATTTTATTCAACAATGGCACAATTTATTGATATTCAAGAAAAGTACCTTTTTATGTAGAAAATCCTAAATTTTCTAATTCTAAAATTTAATTTCAAAAATAGTATCACACAAAAATTTTGGGGCTAAAATAACCTGTGTCCGTCCCTGTTACACACACTTCCAAACAAAACTGTCTAAAATTGTTAATATTTTTAAATCCAGCATAAAAAGCTAGGCTAGAATACCAAATTTTATGTCTTTACCTCAACCCGTTTCGGAAATATTAAGGAAAAACCATCTTCAGGGGAGCCCCTTTAAAAGGCCCTTAGGGGACGTTTGTCGACCTATGTTTATATAAACTTTTCTTCCTATTTTAAGCTCCAGAAACCGCTGGTAGAATATTGCACACTTTTTTCGGACACCCATTATATCGCATTTTATTTTAATAAAGAAATTTATTTAAACACTAAATAGTCATCATAAATTACAACGTACAACACTTAACTAAACTATACTATCGAATTGTGTGGAGAAGCCCATTCTGCTCTACCAGACACAACTTTCTTTGAATGTCTCTCATGAGGTCCTGGACGGAATTCGGTTCAATTTCTCTCTGTTTTTCGTAAATTTGCCGTCTTAATTGTTCTTTATTTTGGACTTCTCAGCCTCCATGATAAACCTTCCTAGACAGTAAATCCCAAAAATATTCTATTGGGGCAGCCTGCGGCAAGTTTGCAGGATTATCGTTTTTAGGAACAAAATGTATGTTGTGTTGGCGAAGCCAGCTTTGGGTATCTCTTGAGTAATGTCATGATGCTAGGTCTGGCCAAAACATGATAAGGTCATTAGCATGATGTTCGTAGACAAACTGAAGCAATTTGGAAATGCAGTTATCAATATAGCTCTCTCTATTCAAAGCTTCACCTCTCACTCTTCCCACAAAAGGTTGGGATACACCCCTGTTAGAAATTGCGAACCAGATCTGCAAATTTCTAACATTGTCAGGGCATTCCTCTGCGTTGTCCGTTTAAACTCCGTCGTTTCCCTTCATTTCAGAATTACTCAAAGTGTAATACTTTTCGTCATCTAAAATAATGATTTTTTCATTGGCCCTTGGAAGTATTTGGAGCGCTCAAGTCTCTTTTGATATTTAAGACCATGCCTCCTCAATTCCAACGATATCGTACTCTTAGAAGATCTGCATTGACGAGCCAGTCTTCTTGTTGACATTCCAACCTGATTTTTTGCTCTTCTGACCAATCTCTCTGACCTTTGTACAGTAAATACACATGGTCATCCACTTTTTATGAGATTCAGACCTGGCATACCCTGCTCGCACGCCGCTATTGTTCGATAAATACTTCTGCGTTAAATGTTTTCATTTTGGAATATTCGACAGATTTCAGATTCGGGTACGATCCCAACCAACTTGTAGATACTTATTTATAATTTATACATCTTAAAGCGAAAACTTTGAAATAAATAAATGTCAATTGACAGAAAAGTAAGCAATTAAACGTTTGTATCCAAACGGAACTAGATGTTATTTTGTGTTTTAAATATTAGAGCCGATGAATTTTGTGCCAAAACTTCTAGGACGTACGTTATTACAACAAATGTGACAGTCTCAGAGAAACTTTGTATTCAGACAGTAAGCTTTAGGAGACATCGCAATGTAATCAATTTGACGACAAAAGTGCGGTAGCTCAGCATGAACAACTGTTGACAGAAAAGATACTCACCAGTAAGTCCGCTATCGCCAGATGCATCAACATCGTGTTGATCTTACTCGGCGATTGCTTTCTTCTTTTAGCCAACAGCACCAAAACGGTTATGTTAGCAATGGCGGAAAACACCATGAGTACACTGTACACAGCTATACTCAATCTGTGTCCATCATTGAACCGCATGCTGATTGGCAGGTGATGTTGGACTCCTCCAGTTTCATTGGTCACCGACCAGTCGAGCAAGTTACGGTGATCTTGGACCGTTTCCGCGACATCAATATGGTGGTGCTTGGTCATCTTGGCTGGCTTTGAAATTCTTAGACGGGGACTGTATGTTGTGAGTTGCCTATAGTTATGTGAGCGAATCCATTGCTGAAAATAAAAAACCTAGTTAAACTATACAACAAGCTAAACTGAAGGGCGATAACGGAGGTGAAACATCCTTTTAATAAAGTTGTTCTCATAACAAAATCTAGCAGGATATGCGCAGGATATCCTTTGGCCATTAAGATGCTAGGTCAGGACGATTGTAACCGACTTCAAACACTATGGTCGAGCTAACGCATTTGCAGACCGTTTGTCTAATACAAGCCATAGAACTGACAGGAATAATCAACCTAAGAATATTAAACTAAAAAGATTACGTACGAAAAGTCTGTTTCTCAAACCTAGAACTTCACAAGAAGTATATGATGTAATTAGAGAGCTACCACCAAAATATTCAACAGGCATGGATGAGATCCCTACAAATGTAGTAAAAAAAGTTGCTAACATTATCTGTCACCCTATATCTTTATTTCTTACACAGTATCACTCACTACCATAAATTTGTAAACACCGACCAAAAAGTTAAACATAATCATTATACCAGGTACAAAATTCGTGGCACAGTAGTTCCTCAACCGCATAAATCTATAATGCAGCGATCATATCTCTATTTAGCGCCTAAATTTTATGAAATTATACCTAAAGACTTAAAAGATTTACGTTTCGGAAATTGTTTCAAAAGAAATTTAAAAAAGTGGCTACATTCTATATCTAGGACTGAAATTCATAAACTCATAAATACGAACATCAACTAAATACATAATCTACTGTAGCTAATTTTTGTCCTTTTTTGTCATTCGCATTCTAAAGTTTCAACTTAAATTTATTGGTCCATGTACAGGCTATGCCTTCTATTGGGCCTGTTTTGATTTTATATTTATTTACTCATATTGTTTGTTATCTTTGTACATTGAGTGAATAAATATTATTATTATTTGTTTTTTTTTTCTTGCTCATAGTCCTCACGTATGGTGGTGTACTATCTTTGAGGGGGAGTTCACCCCAACCAAGGATAGTTTTTACAGAGACAGTGCCTTTCTCACAATATGACACGTTTGTAAGATAACGGCTTTTTGGAATAGTATGTGAAGGCCGTTTGGAAGGTCTAAGGTCTTTAAGCTTGAGGAGACTTGTTTGGTAACAGCCCCTTCCACGGAGATAACAATGGGTACAATCTGCACTTCCCTTAGCTTCCAAATCCTCTTCATTTCAATCGCCAGGTTCTGGTATTTAACAGATTTTTCACGCTCTACCTTGAGGATGTTGTGTGTAAGAGGAATTCCAACCTCAATTATCTGTGCATATTGGTTGCTTTTGTCTATCAGGACAATATCGGGACGGTTAAAGTCTACAGTTTTGTCGGTTAGAAATGGCCGATCCCAATAGAGTATTACATCTTTTGATTCCAGAACTGGCTCAGGCGTGTACTTGTAATATGGCGGAGGAGATTGTACCAAGTTAAGTTTACGAGCTAGCTGTGAATGGATTATTTTTGCAACCTGGTTGTGTCTTCCCAAATAATCGCCAGCTGCCAACGCAGGGCAAGCTCCAGTAATATGTTCGATGGTTTCGCCCGCCTGGTTGCACTTCCTACATTCATCTGGGACGTTGGATTTGAGAATATGTTTTTCATAGTTTTTTGTTTTTATTACTTTGTCCTGGATGGCAGTTATGAACCCTTCCGTTGTTGGATGGAGATATCCCTTTCTCAAATAGGTGAATGACAAAGCTTTATCTATGTTGTCACCTCTCAGTTGGCATGGGTAACGGCCATGGAGAATTTTCTCCTCCCAGCATTCTCTCCTCCTAGTATTCGATTCCGAGGCCGTATTTGCTTGAGGTTGCCGAAAGCTGAAAGGGGTAAATGAGTCATCTGCCTCCACCTCAGCAGCTATCTTAGGACTTAGATGGTTATTAAAGTAATTTTGTAATTTGGCTATCTGAGACTTGCAGAGTTGTGTTATGTTGAGCAATCCGCGGCCCCCTTGTGCGCGAGGGAGGTACAGCCGTTCGGTTGATGCCTTTGGGTGGTGACAATGGAACTTTGTGAGCTTTACACGAGTGATTCTGTCTAGCTCTTCAAGGTCTGTATTACTCCATTTCACAATACCGAACGAATATGTTTATTATTATTATTATTATTATTATTATATCTGATATCATAACTGAATGTTTTATAACTGGCACGTTCCCCAGTAAAATTATTCCAGTAACCAAAAAAGGATTGAAAGACGGTATGTCAGACTACAGACTGGTCGCTCTACTACCTATTTTATCCTAAATATTTTAAAGAATAATCACAATAGACTCTCTTATCCTTTTTTATTGAATCAAATCTACTGGTGAAAAAGTAACCGGGGTGTACTTTGACCTGTCCAAAGCCTTTGATTCAATAAATCATGGGATACTTCTTTTAAAACTGGAACCGTAAGGAATCTAAGGAATCGCCAATGGCCTAATGAGATCGTATTTAAGCAATCGTTCTCAAGTAGTCAGTATTAAATCTGAAAATGCTGATTTGGGTTATTCGAAAGAACCGATAACTAGTATGGGGGTTCCACAGGGGTCAATATTTGGACCAATTTTATATTTAATATACATAAATGATCTATCCAAATCTATTAACTTACTATAACTTCGTTATTCATGTACGCTGATGATATATTGAGAGTATGGTAGCTGATAAAAACATAGAGCAGTTGTCTCAAAAATAATAACAACTTACTACATTTGAACATAGATAAAACGAACATTGTATACTTCAATAAAGACTCTACCAAATCAGTTTATGTGAAATTAAACGGAAAAACCATGATTTAAACGAACACTGCACAGTTTCTAGGTGTGAAAGTAGACCATTCATTGAAGTGGACAGAACAAATAACAGCAGTGCTATCCAAAATGAACTCTGCCTGCTATTTAATACACAGTATTAGAGATCAAGTTAGTACTGAAGTTTTGAAAATGGTTTGTTTTGGTTATGTGCAATCTATAATACAATAAATTCAGCATAATATTGTGGTTTCACTCGTCGAAATCTGTTAAGGTTTTCATATGCCAGAAACGAATTTTAAGAACAGCATTAAAATTGCCCAAGATGACATCTTGCAGATAGTACTTCAACAATTTTTTAATGCTTTGCCTGTACATACGCATGGCTTCAAAAAGACTTGGGAAGCTTACAAAATAGAAGAGGCATTTTATTCACTGAATGAATATTTTAATTGTACATAGTTTTCTTGATGTTAATTGTTGTTGTTAATGGGTGCATCGCTTCGTTGCAGCTAGTTCTTCAACAAGAGAAAAACAGAAAGAATTGTAAGACGGAATTTGTTTCCGAATTATATCCTTGAATGTAAATCGAAAGGTCTTCTGCCTTGAGGTACGAAAAATTTTGCTGGGTAAATTTTTTATTAGGCGACAAAGTTGGAAAAATCACATTCTGCTGTACATTGAAAAAACTATGAAGTATCGGCCTAGTGGATTGCTCGAAATAATAGTAAACTAAAAAATTAGGGGCAATTATAGATATTTATAGAAAATGATAAGCATTTATGATTTTTTTTGGAGACTGATGCTTTAAGTTTTGGCCATTATTGGTATTGCTACGTACTTTTTGAAAAAAACTCAGTTTGAGAATCGGTGATTTTTTGGAATAAGAAATTAAGCACTCCAGCAAAATAGATACGGGCTCACTTTGAAGGTCCTTTCACACTGCTCAACTTTCCTCTGAACCGGTTTTCTCAACACTTGACAATTTTTGGAATATATGGGCAAAATGTGTTAGCCAATCTTCATGGTAAATTGGAAAGTTTTAGATGAACAACCTATAACTTATGTTTAACAATATATTTTTGTTTTAAAATCCGCTTATACAATTTTTATTTCATATTCCACTGGCGAGAAAGTAATGCAATCGCGAAAAAAATTGACTATTACGCTTTTTGGATGTTCATCGGTCTGTCTGTTGGTTTATCGATCCGCCCTGGACCATCTATGACTAGGAGAGTATCTCTGGATGTTGATAATACTTCCACATAAGAGACCACTATGCCAAGGACGAATAAACTTTGTAGATTTTGACAATTGATACATTGGCGGTGCAACTAGGAGCATAAAACGAAATAGGAACAAAAATCGGTGAAACTTCGTTTTTTAACATTTTAGAGGCCTTGATTTATTTTCAGAAACATTTTTCGAGATGTTAAGAATTGGCGGTTGGAATTGCAGGGGGTGGAGGAGGGTATACTTCAATTTTTTGATGTTAGTTTGCCAATACCCCTCAACTCCCGTAATTCTGCCACATAATTCCTCTTAAAACTTAGAATGATATAGAAATAGATAGATACTCTCTGGGTTCACCGGCGGGCGCGCCGTTCTCGATGAATGTCCTGGCATCAATGCCACAGTGCCGCGCTGCCTAGCCTGTTGCGTCGTGCAATCAAGTATGGGGGAGGGGCGACGATGACAGATTGACGGTATTACCGGACCGTCCACGCTTGGGCCTGATTGACTAATTTGATCATTCTAGTTTCTCTGTTATACAGGCTCGTAACTATTTTTTTTCTCAAAAGGTCTAACTTGTACTAAACGTATGACCTGATGACGGCGTTGCATTGAAAGTACAGAGTCAAACTACTTGACTCCATTTTTCAGAAGGTCTACATGTCCTGGTCTATATGTAGAGTAGAGTGTCCTAGTTGTCAGGTTTGGGGTCCACCGCTACTATGGAACTTTTGAATTATCTCGGTAATTATGCTTGTTCCACGAGGAATTTCCTAACTTCTGGATATACAGGGTGGCCCGAAAAAAGTGTGCAATATTCTACCAGCGGTTTCTAGAGCTTAAAATAGGAAGATGTAAAGATAGGTCGACAACCGTCCCCTAACGGCGCTACGGTCTTTTAAAGGGGCTCCCCTGCAGATGGTTTTTCCTTAATATTTCCAAAACGTGGTGAGATAAAGACATAAAATTTGGTATTCCAGCCTAGTTTTTTATGCTGGATTTAAAAATATTAACAATTTTAGACAGTTTTGCTTGGAAGCGTATGTAACAGGGACGGACTCAGGTTATTTTAGCCCCAAAACTTT